TTTGCCCCTAACAAAGGGCATTCTCAGCAGATGCGCTATTTATGTCCTGCCCTGTAGTATAAGTGGTCTGTCTACACAAGAGACTGCACCATGCACCCCAGTCTTTTTAAAAGGATAAATCTTAAGGAAGCTTTGATCCCCTAAACTTCCAAGGGAGCCAAATCGGTTTTTCAAAAACCAAAATGGTTTGTCATATCCAGAAAACTGTGGAATTGCTTGAAATAACGAATGTACTTAAAGGAGTTCAACTTGTATGTGATCCTTCTGGTGTACATTTGCTTCATAAAGCACGGTGCTTATGCATAGTGTGGTCTTCCTGATGCACACAGACCTCTGCCAAAAATAGCTCGCTAAAAACCCCTTGTGCTTACCAACATCTTAGTATCTGTGTAGGCCTCCCTAGAGTACATGTGCATAACTCATTTGGATTTATGAACTTATTTCAAACCATAAAAACTAATGTTTTGCATGGAAATTACCCCCCTTTTAATTGGTCAGAGCATTATTAAAAGGTTACATAAAACTGAAATTCACTCAGCACTATTTTTGCTAGTGCAGTACCGATAGAGACCCTGTGCTAATAATGCAAACACTAAGTGTGACTGGGACAACGTACAGTTTGCACCACAGAGGCAGGTCTGCATGGAAGTGCAGAGTTCAGAGCAGGGATAAGTGTGTTCTCTGGACTCCGATTTGATAAAAAGCAGTTGGAGGATCATGTGACTAGTTACAATTGCAAGTAGAGTTGAAACACAGAAATACGAGCATTGAAAAGATAAGATAGACAGTCTCACAAATGAAGCCATCACTAACCGAGGTGCAAAAAACGGGTACCATTCACACACAAACATACACTCACATACATCCCTCCACCATACATGCATTTCCTATTTTTTATCTCACTTACAACAGCACAGTGGAAATGCTCTTCAGTGTGGAATAAAACTGATAAATCTTACAAATACTGCTCTATCAATTATTGATGGTTGCTGAAATTTCCTTCTTTCTCTTTCCAAGCATAACAAAGCTAAGAAGTTTCAAGTGCAAACTCAAGAGTCATTGACCAGTGTTAAAATACAAACTCTACTAGCATCTCAGAGTGATTGTGCCAATTTGGTGTCTATTAAAAACTACTCAAAATGAGTCACAGATTAATCCATCCATATTAAAAGATCAAACTACAAATAAAGAGCTTTTCATGAAGTCTATTCTTTCCTCATAGCCCTTTTATTCCTCTACTAATTTGAAAGCTTCACTAAGCTAAAGTGTCCCAGAAATGCATGAGGGCCTAAAATCCTTTGGATCTTTCAATCCAAAGCAAGCAACTGTTTGCCTGCAGTAGCAATTACTTCTTTGTGCACAACACAGAAATTAGCCCTGTCTGATTCAGATCTGGACAGGATGCTGTGTCCCTATTAAATCCACAACCCTCAAGGGCTGCCAGGCAAAATCTTTCCCAGGCTTTGTTAAGCTCAATATCAAGGGACATGCCAACACCCAATGGGCAGAGAGATTTCCACTGAATACACAGCATCAACAAACCAAAGTGGCCTCAACTTTAATCTGGTCTAAAAAACCACCCCAAATCCTCCAGAAGTACCAAAATGGACCCTAGCTGTGACACACACCTTTGTATGGCAATGATGATTCCTGAGTTGCATTATGTAGAGATTTTTTTAAAATTTAATCAAATGATTAATGAGGGATGTTTCCTTCCCATGTAAGTAGGTTAAAAATGCCAGTCAAGACATTGAGGTGTTTTGAGTGTTGCTGAAGGGTTGTAACAGTTACTTTAACTTACAGAAACAAATAAATAGCTACATGGTACCTACCACTTGCAGAATGCTGGAGACACTCTCCCAGTCTGCTTCCACAATGTTAGAACCTCCATCCACCATGCCTTGGTAACCCTGGATGAGAAAACAAACATTTACTTAAAAACAGGTTGGACTTTGCTGTACATAAGCTATGTAAAATGGAAACACAAACAAGTTCCTAAGTGCCTAAAGGTAAGAAGAGAATACAACACAGTTTGCTCATTAGAGGTATGAAATTGTGGTAAAGCTTCTTAAATTTATTCTCTTATAATGGGAGTCCCTACCCAGACTCATCCAAAGAAATGGAAGGGGAATGAAGTGGTCTGCCTCTTGTCCCATGGTTCTTGAGTTTCAAAGTGGGCACATCTAACCCTGTAGTGTTTATGATTTAGCATAAACACACACAAACTGATGGCAACCACACTGTGCACATGAAAGCATTCTGCAGGTCTTAATTTGCAAAGGGAATCCAAGCTGCTTTAGATACACAATAAATATGTGTATATTTACATATATATATATGTGTATGTGTGTGTGTATATTTACATATATATATATAAATATATTTAAAGCACAGCTGAATAGTAATCCAATCTGCCTTATTTCTCAATTAGTGACATTTTACTTCAGTAAAACTTACTTTTAATAAACTAAGTATCAGAACATACCTTTGCCTAGGAGTAATTACTTTTCAACTCTAAACACACACTTTTCCCCTCCCCAAAAATACATAGATAAATACATCACAAAAGGGAGAAATGTTCACTTGCTTCTTTACCTACATGACTCACTTGCCTGAGCATTAACCTTAAAAAGGAATAGCCCTTAAACATTTAGAAATGTCTAAAATGTAATACATCATTATTGATTACTATTATTGTGGATTCAAAACCCCTGTCTAGAGAAGGTCCAAAGAAAGAGAAAAATGAATAAACATTTTAGAAAATAGATCAGCTGATTAAGTATGCAGACTTGTGCACAAATTCATAGGGCAGGCATCTTTACAGTTAATTTATAAGCGTATTTACAAAATGTGAATTTCAATCAAAAATATACCTATATACACGTGATGTTTTCTGTGTGTATGTATATAATTAGCATCAGATATGTGACAAATAGGAAAGGAAATAATAGTATGGAATGAAACAGAACCAAAGCAACTTAGTGCTATCAAACACCTGTCCACACATCTGCATATTACTGAGGGGTACAAGCCCTGGGCAGCTCACCCCAGTCCTCTCTGCCCATCATGGTGAAGCACTGAGTCTTCTAAACACACCCAGTCTAAGTTTAAGGATGACTTTATTTGTTTGTTTATTTATTGATTTATGTGTTTATTTTTTTACTGTCTTAGCTCTTAACTGAAAACATGCACTCTTAGCTAATTTCACTTAAAATATAGAACCCAGGTACAGTTTTCCCTGTGGAGGATGAGGACAGTAAGTAAGAGTGACATTCGACCAAGCCCTATCTCTACAAAGGACAACCTCCGCAGAGGTGCTATTTATGTTGTGTCCTTGTGTGGAAGACATCTGTCTATGCAAGGGACTCACCAGGCAGAAATTACAAGTGTAAGACCATGCCCTCTCCTTGCTTTAAATCGGCAGGCATAAGTCAGGACCACTATGGGCAGGGCCAGATGTAGAGCTGCAGTAACCATACAGGGTTTTAACAAAACAGAAAAGGAAGACCTACCAAACTCCCACTTAGAAGAGCCACTGTGCAATCATGTCTGTGCATCCAATTGTTAGGGAAATAAACAGACTAGGGGGAAAGAACCCAGTCCCGGCCACCACACTGATGAAGAGGAAGAGGAGAGAGCCTGTGGTGCAAAGGCAACCTGAGACACACATCTGAAGGCAACAACTTCCAGATTATCCTTGCAGCATTTGCTATTACAGAAACTGTTCCTTGGGTAACCACTAAGTTTTACTACCTAATATGCCCCATGGCAATCAGAAAATTTCCCTTTCCTCTTATTTTTAAAACTTGAGTATTGATTTAAGAAAAAAGTTTTTTGCAAATTCCTTTGCTTGTATTCTACAAGCCACAACATATAATTGACAAGTAAAACATTTTCTGACAGTAAGTTTTTTTTGCATAGCATAGATACATACAGTAAAGGAAGCAATTAAAAATTAAAAAAGGGTGACTTCATTAGCATCACACTTGAAGCTCTTTTTTTACACATGTGGTAAGTTCCTAGGAAATGACTCATCCTTTAACTTGCAAAGTCACTATGCCCACATAACACTAGAAAAATAAGGGCTAACTGCAGCCTTAAGCTGTCGTTTTTACTAGTAAGAAATGTTACCAAATTAGGAAGACTAATTTTACCCAAATGTATTATAATGCACAAATTCAAATGAAGTTTCTTTTCTCCGGAAGTAGAAGGAAAGCTCATTACTTATTTTAATACAGCCAAAACATTTTCTAAAATTCCCTTTTGGAATTTGCCTTCAAAGTCAGTTTTATGACTCACTAAGAAAAACAAACCATAAAACCTTTTCAACTATGCTTCCTTTTTAACCAAAGGAAACACTGCATCCGACTTGTCCACCGATGCTAATTCATCAGAAGAACCTAAGAGACCCTTGGCCAGTTGCATCAAATCTATCCTCCAGCAGAAATTTTTACACCATCCATTTCTAATTAAGTTCATGTGACAGACTCTGAGTCAGTTTATCTTCTTGTTTGGAATCACTGTGAGTCAGAGTAAGCACCAGTTGCCTCCAACCTGATTGTTTAGGCAACAGGGCTCTGTTTAGGGGTAATTTTGTTCAGTAGTTTTAGGCATTTGTTGAGTCCACCCTAAATAGACTAAAAGCTTGTCTACCTGTGGGTAGTTATCTCTTCTAAGAGAACTTATCCATATTTTTTAAAATTATAAAGGGAAATTACAGTCATGTGTTACAGCAAATTAAGTATTTTCTTTTAGAATTCTTGTTGAATGGGTCTGCATGTCTTCTTGATTGGATGGTGCTTTTTCCTACCTGATTTCCTGAATTTTCCAGTTACAGAACTTGAGAGCAGCTTGTGGAGAGGCTCTGAAAGGCTGGCTTTCTGGTCTTAACATTTAGTAAACACCACTGTTCCAAACTAGGTGCTCACAAAAAAAAAAAAAGCATCAGAAAGTTCCCAATGGCAGTGGTTTTCAAAGTTCAGGACAGTAATTTTATTTTGCCCACAGGAAATGCAAATGTAGAATCAGAATATGGAGTTCCTCCCTTACATGTAGGGTCAGGCTCACCTCTCTACCAGAGCTCTAAAGGAATGCTCTTATCCAGAGAGCTTAACAATAAGCCTGTAAAAATGTGCGCCCTGATTTAATTACTTCATGGAAAATTCCATGGAGAAAGGAACGTTAGGACTTGTCCATGGTAAGACTGAGTCAGCTATAAAATAGGTTAGAACATGACAAGTCATTGTATAGTCCTGTATTTGGCACTTTGGCAAATCAATAACACACCAGTGTGATTTATTTAGCCCTCTGGCACTATGAGATTTAAGTCAAAGTTAACAGTACACAATTTCAGGGAAATCATAAAGCAAATAGCCACAACAAGAACAAGGCAGGTCACTCTTCTTCCACAACCACAGAGACACTCTCAACTCTATCTCACATAAGAAAGTCCTCAATAGGGGTCGCTTAGCCCTACTGTGACAACAGTGGTACGGCAAGTAGCAAAGACAGGGGAGAAAGCCCATGTTGTTTTGCAGTTTGAGAATGTTAACCGTGACTAAACTGAAACCAGGAGCAGGATACTGATGGCTGTGGGGAAGAGTGTCAGACATGACACATAAAGAACTAGCATAAAGCAGGCATAAAAGATAATGCCCACTCCTGTAATGATTATCATTTCCCAAGATGTATAGTGGCCAATGTTCCATGAAAAGCCAGGGTGTGCTGGGGAGATCTAGGTCACACAAACTGGCCTTTTGTGAATCCACTAACACACTGAACACACATGCATGTTAGCACCAGCAAACTTGCACATAGGAGACATAGCATGCTAATAAATACAGCTGTACATTCAAGCATCATGACTGTTATTTTTAGGCAGGCATAGTTTTGACTTTGAGGAGGTTCAAAGGCACAAATAGGTATGTTTAAAACCTCAGAGATGTGCCTGAGTGAGCTGTGGATAACTGTGCTTGGAATTTGCAAAACTGTTGGAGGAAGATGGAAACCAGAATGAGCGACAGAAGAAACAAGATAGGAAAAGCAGACCTGTCCTAGAAAGTCAGCACTGATGTTGTGACCTGTTGTTCTGTCCAGCAGTCTTACTCATAGGCATTACTGGATTACACATATCTACACAGAAGTCACGTTCTTGTCCCCTCCTCCAGCTGTGAGCCTACCAATTGAACTCCCATGCTGCTGAGGGCCAGAAATTGAGTAAAAAGATGAAGGTTGGAAAGGCTTTTGCATTTCTCATCTTTAACACTGGAAGGCTGGGTGTGGTCTATCCAAGAAGAAAATAATGATTCTTCTGACAAAGAAGGGATTTCTATTAGGAAAGGAAAAAAATGATGCAATCAATTAATAAATTAAAACTTCTTATTGGTATATTAAGTCAAGCCATAATGTCAGAACTCAAAACAAGACAAGCTAAGATTATGTGCCAATAATTCAAGCTCAGGGAAGAAGTTCAGCCTGTGATGCATCTGGTTCTCCCCAAGGAGAAGGATGCCAACTGGAAGTTAGCAAGCGCAGATCCTCAGGCCCCTGGAGTAGCAGGGATGGTGACACAGGTCCTGACTCAGCAGGCCTGTCAAGGCCACAGGATTATGTGCTGGGGATGCCCCCATGTCCCTTATCCTTTTACAATATGAAGACAGCACACAGCTTAACATGTTTAGAATTTGTTGCTTTTAATAACAATAAGATTAGCTGCTAAATTCTTCCTCACCTTTTTTTTTCAGGGTGTAGAAGATGAGAGAGGAACTCTGCCAGTATTTAGGAATGGCTGCCGTGTGCAGTACTGTAATGCTAAAAGTTTCTTTAGAACATGAAAGATGTTTAAATTAATCACATATAAAGGCTATAGGCAGAATAACCTCCAACAACAGTATATCAAACCTGTGTATTC